TAGGAGCGATGCCAGGAGCCCCTAGTAGCGTCCTTGCTCCTAGTAGCGATGCTAGGAGCCACTAGTAGCGTCCTTGCTCCTAGTAGCGATGCCAGGGGCCCCTGGTCCTCGTTACGTCGGGCCTATGAGTTGGCGGTTTGTGGCGACTCTCGTGAGGTCGTGCCGCTGCCCTGACGGCGATCCTTCGTGGCACACGTCACGTCACCTGCGCCCGCAGCTGCGTCCGCCTCTTCAGGCAGACCACAGGATTTGGGGTCTCACCTCGCTCTTCGACTTGTTGTTAATGAGAGGATTGAGGAGAGGATTTTGTGGCGGATCCAAAGAGCGGGATCTTTGAGTGAGGAGGATCAACTTTATATGCAGCTACATGCCAATATAGACTATTCTATACTTGTGTTGGCTTCCTTGAATTATCATTCTTCAAGCTACGGATCATGCTCATCATTCTAACGGATTTTGCCCGCCAAGTACTCTCGCTCAGCCACTGGGCAGGTCATCAAGTACTCTCGCTCAAACGGATGCCGCAGATTTCTGCCGCCGAAATTGGGGTCGGACGAGTTGGAGGACACGGCAGGCACTGCTGGGCTTGGCTTGACAAGCTACTCGTATGACCAGAGGCTCGAGTCTCTTTGTTCGGTATGATCCCTGACACAGACACCCAGTGAAAGCTGTGTTTTCGCCACCTTCCGTGAAGTGAAACCGAGTCGTGACCGATGTTCAACTGTCCCCGGCCCCTCGGAGGCTGCGGATGCGCCGCGGACGCGCCGCGGACGCGCCGCGGACGCGCCGGTCCATGAGCCGGACGGCTCGTTGAAAAGCTGCGACCGGTCGGCGCTGGCTCGGAGCTGACTTGTTTGGGGTTTCGGACCTCCCCCCGGCGGGTGCCAGGTGCCTGAGCTCTTTTGCGAGTTTGGCTCGGCGCATCCGGCGATGGCCCCAAGGGCCGCGTGGTCGGCCTATAGCCTGGGAGACTCAGAGAGGGAAGGAAGGCTGAGAGTGGGGGCAACAAGAGGTTCAAAGGCCTTTCAAGATGTTCAAGCTTGGGGTGATTTTTGGTGTCACAGATTTCTTGGGCATAAGTTTGTTTTTCTTTTTCGACTTCGATGAGTCGTCTCTTCGACCACCATAAGGCCTGCTCCTTCTTGCCGGGTCTGTCACCCGAAGGCCTTCTGTTTCTTCCACTTCTCAAACGAACACGTGGCGGATCGGCTCCTTCCGGTTTCATCCGCCAACCGTTCTCCCTCCGTTCGGTTTCGGCCGAGCGGGCGTCTTTCGCCCTCTGCGAGGTGACCTGGTGACTTGCACCAGTCCTCCCTTGTCACGACGCTTGGTGTGGGTCTTGGAGTGGCGACGTCATGAGAACGAAGAGCGCAGAGATCCTTTCTTGGTCACGTGAAGATCCAAAGACTCAGTAAGGAGTCTCCACAGAAAATTCGGAAGCTGATTTCCTGGCTTTCCGAGGTCGGGGCACCGGAGAAGGGAAGCCAGGACTGGTTTCAAACACCGATCCGAAAACCGTGGCTTCGCTCGGTCGTCCCGAGGGCGTGACCTCCGTAGACGAGCGATGGCTTCCACCCAGGTAAGCCGATGGCAATGCGATGGTGTTCTGTCAACCAAAACAGAAGAGGAGAAAGAATGAGGAAGAGAATTTGGGACAAGAAGCTACTAGGAACAAGTGCATCGCTACTAGTAACAAGTGCCTTACTAGTAGTAACAATGTTTGCTATTAGAATTGAATGATATATCATTCGAAACAGCAGTTTTGCAGCGATAAAGAGCTGAAGGTTGACCGGGTGCAGAGTAGAGACGGCAACCGGGCGGTTCACCGGGCGGTTCACTCGGTCGGATCGGTGCTACAAGCCAGTGGGTTTTTGCGTGAGACTTCTGCCATTCAGATGTTCTCCATCTTTTTCAATCCCCCCGCCATGGGTTTTGGTTCTATCCGTGTTTGGTGAACCTTTCAAACAACCGCGCGAATCGGGTGGAACACCCCATGAGGATGCAGTGATTGTGCCTTTGCATGTCTACTACTATGCCCGGGAGCTCAACAGAACTAGCAGTGCTGTGAACCATGATGAACCTCCAACCTAATGAAGAGCTATGGCCTCGAACTTAATAGCGATGAGGAACCTCTTCAAGAGCTCCAAGACTTGGTATGACTTGGCAGTGTTCGTTGTTTCAGAGGTGTTGACAAAAGCCACATCTTTCGGCTGGCCGAACGCATTTTCGGACTACACGACGAGTGTTCCGGAGAGGAGTCTCCGTCTGTCAGGAGTTCACCGTCTCGGTGGTCGGAGCAAGAAATCGTTCGACGCCACCAATTCTCCGATTCACCACGGGTGTTCTGCTGGGAATCCGAAAGCCTCGATGTGAACATGCTCGAGCAGCAGTCCGTGGCTCGACGCCGGCCTGAGGTCTTCAATGACGGTTGGAAGCGCTCGGATGCCGTCGACTTTACCTATCAACTCGTCCGGAACCCCAAAACCACGGCGAAATGGACGGGAGGACGGAACGTTGGGGCGACCACACTACGAGCTGAAAAGACAAAGATGGATCGTTTGTGTAGGTTTCGCATGGTTTTGCAGATGTCCAAGGAAGCGTGGCTCGGCGTTTTGAGTGGGACAATGGATGACCACATTGTGGTACAGTAGAATTCTCATGATTTAGGTTGGACTCACGTTACTTCACCCCACAATCACTTGTGCACTTACCTGCTTCCAGCTAGAAAACCATTTGATGTGTGAGATGGTTGGACAACCAGGGTGCAGACTCAAGGCGGAAGGACACTGTGACCCTCACGTCTTGCCCGTTTGGTGCATCGTCCCGAGGATGTGACGTTGCCCGTGAATGAGTCGCAGCCTTCTCCTTGGCACAGGAGTTCCATGAAAAACGGTCGAGTTGCCCCGGTGATGTTTGTCATTTTCTTCAGATATTTGAGAGTTGGGACATTTTTGCAAAAGCCTCAAAGTGGGGTTCATATCAACCATTTTTGAAACTGCGGCACGTCCTTCTTTTGAAAAGAACTGTATATTGTGCTGAGGTGATCATTGCTTCTCCAACCCAACAAACTGAAGTGGAGAACCCAACTCTCATGGCTCTCACCTGAACCGAACCTGATCTAACCATATCCTTTTCAGACCAAGAACCAACCGTTTGGATTCCCCACGCTTGGTGACTTTGTGTCACTCGCCCAACAAGTGATCCTCTAGGAACTGAAGCTGTGCTGTTTCATCTCGTTTGCTTCTCATCTCGTCACCCTCTAACTGCCGCAGTGCTTCTCATCTGGTGCTTCCTGTTTTTCCGTGAAACCGATGTAGATGACTCGTGCCATTCACAAGCTTAGCTCCCACATGGGATTCGCGTCGAGGCCACAAGTGCGGCGCTTGCTGCCCGGGCTCTTGCGCTTCTCTGAGCTCCTCGGTCCTGACTGTTGTTGACGGGTGGAAGGGGGTCGCAGAATCTGGAAGCCCAGTCCCAAGCATTGGAAAATCCAGTCAGGAGATATTTGGACCTCTGGCTATCTCCTTTGAAACCTGCTTCTTCAGAAGGGCCTCCAGAAAAGCACTCAGCTTTCTTGGTGAATTCTCCCAGCATCAAGCTGGTCGTTTCTTTCTTCGTTGATAGTCTTGCTCTCTGCTTTTTCTGGAGGGAGCATGATGAAGCCGACTCTACCCCACCCCAACCTCACCATGGTTTTTCAGTCTGAAACAGCCGCTGTCGGGTGAATGTTCCACCGAGGATGGCGGTCGATGCGTTCGGGTCGCCCGGTTCCGCGGCGCGTCATTCGCCGCGCGGCGCGTTCCCCGCGGCGCGGTCCGCGCAGCCCGTCCGGCACGTCCACTGAAGTGGTGATGGAGTGGGTCCAGAAAGCTGTTGAGGAGAGGCAACTCGTTGAAAAGGTTCCGAACTTCCCAAATCTGAAATTGCTTTCTCAGAAGATCCCATGTCCTTTTCGTGGATCACTGGATCGACCGTGGAAAAAGGCTTCCGCTAGCTCTGGTGGAAGTGGAGTTAGTCGTCGCGCACTGAGTTGGAAACGCTTCAAACGAACGCTTCACACTGCGACTGCGACTGCGACCCATCCACCAGCAGTGCCATGGAGTTGGAACATCCACTGGATGGGACGAGGAAAACACCAGGCCGACATGTGACTCCCGGCCACCTTCTCAAGATACACATGATGGAACCCAAACGCGCCAATCCTCAGGTCATGGGACTGAAGGCTTTCGTTGCGCCAAGGATCCTCCTCCTGCCTCCTACTTGCAGAGCTCGCTGGAACGCTCCAGCGGAGCCAAGCTCTACAGTCGGGCGGCCATGAATTCGTGGGACGATCTGTGAATTAGATGGAGCATCCATGGTTTGGTGATAGGATTGGGGTGTGTGTTTGGCTTGGAGGGGTTGAACCAAAACCCCCGGTTGCGGGTCCATGTCGGGTCAAACGGGTCCATGTCCCGAAGCTTTCTGCGCTTCCAACGACGACGTCGGTCGCAGGTCGTCGTCTCTGGTGGGTGGTCTCCCGACGTCCAACGAAGTCACTGGTCACGTCCCAGGAGCTGTTCACGTGGTTGTCTTCGGAGCTCAACAGCTCAAATAAGAGAGAAGAAGTCAGGTCCTGTTAATCATACCTGGATGTTCCGACTGTGCAGAGGTTTTGGCCTTCTCATCTATAAAGCCGACCCATTTTCAGCAGACATTTTGCACCGTTGGAAGATCAAGGACTATGGATGTTGAGATCTGTGTAGAGTCCAGCTAAAAAATCATCCGTTCTCGGAGTTGTCTTTGTCGGATGCACTCATTCTGACCAACACACACACGCACACATGTCGCGAACAGCGGCTGCAGCGCGGTTTGCGCCAGGTGCTGCTCGCAATGGCACACTTCGATGCCGCTTCCAAGCGACCACGGGCCTTCAGGTCCTTTGCGTGGGACGGTCGGTGGGGGCTCGGCGGAGCGGGAAGGAAAGCGTTGGCGTGGGCATTTCGTTTGATCCTTAGCTGCCTTAGCCTTCAAGACTTTACAAAAAAGCGGGAGCGACCTGGTTTTGAAGTTTTGTAGTGTAAAATCCTTAGGAGCATCATGGTTGTTCAGTAAAGACCTAAGAACACCTCACGTGCTTCTCGCGCCATGACGGAGACGGTGGAAAGTATGCACACAAGAGGGAGACTCCCGGCTAGCCGGGCAGTCAAGAAACATCGAAAAGCAAAGACCCAGCAGCATCTCCAAACTGGGTGTTCAGAAGGAAGATACATCGTCGGGGGCCGTCAAACTCCCTGGTTCTGGCCATTGGTGACCTGGCTCCCTCAGCAGCCAAAGCAGGGGAACCCGCAGCTGCAGGTGGCAGTGGAGGCGTCGCTGATGCATGGCCCCTTTGTGCGCCTCGTCTGGTTTGAGTCATCTCGCCAGCACGAGGAAGAAGAGGAAGAATTCGTGGCACGAGAGGACAGAATCGGCAATTAGTTTGCAGACACTCCAAGGGTTCCTTGGACATTATAGGTTCATGTTCCACATGGCTGGGGCGTTTGACACGCGTCCACGCAGGTGGATGTCTTTCAACAGTATAGAGAGATCCACCTGGAGGTCCGCAGTGGCCACCAAACAACATCTTGCGGATCCATGGACTCAATGTTTGGCATGTGAAGGCGGGGGTTTTGGGACTCACGACCGAGTCCCTGAGTCCCATGGTCGATGCCAGTTCGGCATCGATCGTCGGTCGGTGGCCGACGTGTTTTTTCCCGGTCCTGAGACGTCAACCGAAAGACAACTGCGGGAAGACGCCTCGATGGTTACAGGGAGGATGGGTCTTTTTCGTTTGACCTCCCACTTCTTGAGCTTCCCGCAGAACACCTCTGGGGAGCTCCCGGATTCATCTGGGAGTCCTGGTGAACCTGTTGGGAGTTTCCCCCCGCAACCTGGAACCTGAGAATTCACCGGTGGTTTCGACCATTCTCCGAAGACCAACCCAGTGGTTTTTGGGTTCCATGAGGTCCTCTGCAGGGGAGTTCATGGTACCTCTTCGCGATCGGATCCACACTGGACTCATGCGGTGGGTGGTGGGTGCGAACCGGTCGGTGCACAGTTTTCCAGCAAGAAACGAGACGAGGTGGTGTGGATAAGACTCATCACTCTGTCACAGAATAAGGTCTTTCAGGAAGATGAAACAATGATAGCCTAATTCAAGGGGTGTAACGCACTGTGAGCGGGCTCTGAATCACATCACCCAAGTCATCGGCCGTTTGGTGGACCCGTCATGTGCTCGAACCGAATCGCGCCTTCTCTTCTTCTGCTGTTAAGCAACGTCCAGCAGCACTTCCGGCAGCTTCTGACCCGACAGCACTTCCGGTCGATGACGGGGTCTTTCTGACGCCCGGTCCCCGCGCGGTACGCGCTGAGGTGGGAGCCCCTGAGCGGTTCCGGCGCCGAGGGCTGGCCACGGGTGCTGTGCCACAGCAACTCCTCCTCGGCCGCTCGACCGCAGGCTGTGAGGGCTGATGGATCGACTATAGCCTACACCTGCATGGACACCAATCATCCTGGGATGTGGTTTTCAAGCGACCTCATGCCCCACCGGAGTCCCCACTCCGTGTGGCCCGCCACCACCGAGACCGCTCTGCTCAGTGTTTGGAAGATCGGAGATGGATGGAGCCCACTCTTCAGTGTGATTTTGGGGATGTTTTGGGCATTTTTGGGGTTTTCAGCTCATCAGCTCTTTCCATTTGAGCTAGGATGGAGGCCATCATCGCTAGGTTGGCCATCGCTGAGGCCATTGCTATTGCATGCTTGGGAGGAGCCCCAGACTCCTCGAAATAGATCCGAGACATGGCACCGTTCCCTTGGCAAAACCACGTCCGACGCCACCCAACCCCTCCTTCCCTTTCAAACGTACCGGGGTGTTGGTATGTATGATCAACGATACTGATACTCATGAAGGCATACCCTGGTTGACCGAACATGTGCAGTTTGGTCTTTGCACATCGACCGAACTTGATGGAACAGGCCAGGTCGGAGGTCCACCTGGGTTCAAAGAGCTGGCCTTTGGACGGCGCCAAAGAGCGCCAGCTCCACCTGGATCTTCCGCAACATGTCTACCTTTTGATATAACCAACCAAAAGGCAGACACTTCTCTTCACTTCAACTAGCCAAGATGGTCTTTCGCCCCAGACCGACCTTGTGTCCTGGCTTTTCCACCCCTTCTCCGAGAGTAACGAGCAGACGGACACCCCAGAACACTGTCTCGCTGAGGTCAACGCGATGATCGCCACATATGGGAAGCCACTCAGATCAGACCTGGTGATACAGGGTGAACCCGCGACTCGTCCACGGAACTTCCCGAAAAAGCAGACTCGCAGACCATGAAGGACCTGCGAGATCGATATGGATTTCACATTTCAGGTCCGAAGATGTTGACACGAAAAACCACCTATCACACTACCTGGGTTCGAGTCTTTTCATGGAAAAACTTGTCACCCCCAATCCTTTTCCTCTCCTTTTTCCTCCCCCCCAACAAGCCTCCCGCTTGAACACCTGTTCGTGGCGCTCCCGACACCGCGGTAGGTCTTGGGTGACCGACGCCTTGGTGCAAATCTCCACGGATGCGGGGCAAAGCTGGTCGGATGCCGAGAGGACGTGTCCGACGTGTCCGACGTGTCCGATGCTTTGGACTGATGGATTGCTTCGGACTGGGTGTCGTTGGTGATTTTTCTGCACATTTACGACAATGGCAGACCACTGGGAGTAGTAAGGGGATTACTGAAATTGAGATCGGTTTCGGGGCTTCACGCCAGAAAACCGACGGAACACGGCCGAAAGCCGGCTTCCATGGCGATGCAGCGATTTGTGGCTCTTCTTTGGTGGAGGGAACTGATCGGTGAACCGCACATGCTTGTGGTACCCCGTACCCCCTTACCAACCCTGGTTCATACAGGAAGTACGATTTCCACATCCAGGGACGTGGGCAGCTTTCTCGAGGCCTGTTTCTCAAACCTTAGTGAGCTTGGCATTGTGAGCCGCATTTTTTGGTAAGCAATTCAAGAGGGATCCGCGCTGTTGTTTGACCCGTTCTATTTTTTTGGAGCCAAATGTCACTGGAGTCCTCGAAGCCTGGAATCAAGTGATTTGAAGAAAGGGGCCTTTTCACCTGCGGATGTACTTATATCTTTGCATCTGTATAAGCTTAATCCCTTCCTACTTAAAAGAACACGGGTCCCCGCCGCCTAATATCTTTTTTTATCTATTCTATTTTACTTTCCTTTCTCTTTTAAAGGTACGGTACATCGGATACTTACTTGAGATTCTACCTGTTTCTACGGGTCGTTGTCCAGGTTGCGGTCCGACTGGTTTCAGGGCGAAAAAACGTAACCACATGGTGATCACTTGGATGACCGATGCGGATCGAGCCTGATCGCTTCACTTCGTCTGTCGACCAAGTAGGATGATCGATGCGAAAGACCTGTTTGTCTCAGGTCAAGTCGACAGGATGCTGCCATGGTGACTTTGGCCGGCAGCGGTCTGAGTGCATCTTCATATGACATTTTGGGTTACTGTAATTCAGCGTGGAGATGCCAAATCCGGACATGGAGGAATTTCTAGCTTTGAGATGATGGGATGTGGCTCTGAGATGATAGGAGTCATACCCGGAAGAAGAGCTTGAGCTCAGATGATTCATTATTATTCATGATTATTCAGAGGACTCTGGCAGGGAGCATGGGAAATCATGGGCAATGAGGCAGCGTGTGCCCTGGGAGTCAAAGACTCTAAAGAGCATGGTCAAATTGGGAAACGCGAACATGTCGATGATTTTGAGGAATTTTCCTTTAATAATTATATTAGACACGAAAGAGTATAGCTTTTGGACTTCTAGGATGCTTTTGAGCACTTGCAGTGCATAGATGTCTTGCAGGGATTTTCTTTTGTGTACCGCTTTGGGCGCAGCCCTTTAAGATGCTCCCAATGCTACCTTCTTGGAAAGAATCCCTTTACCAGAAGGTAAGATTCCGTCTTTGCCTTTGACCATGTTGTACACTAGTTTACAAAAGGCTGGACAGCAAGAGCCTGAAACATATCAGAGAACAAACCTTGCAACGTCTTGCATCCAACCTTTGCACAGGTATTTGAAGATCTCTTTGGAGACCAGGATCATGTTCTTGCCCAATGCAAAGTCGAAAGACTTCTTCCCTCCAAACGCTCAGCCTCTTCCGATGACATGTTCAGCTCGTGCCGTGCCTGTTCATCGCTGCCTTTTTGGAGCTCGGTTCATCGCCGTCCGCGACGGCGCACCGTGAGCGTTTCGACGATGGCGACGGCACCCACCGAGCCGCTGGCTCGGTCGCCGTTGACGAAGGCCGTGCCAATCCCGCGCTTCGCCATGGAGCAGATGCATGGCTTAGGGAAGTGTACGCCCTATCGCTTCCATGCATTTAAGGAGAGAACCGGAGTCGGGACCGGTGACCCCAAAGTCCAAGGAGAACGAGGCGAATAGAGGCGCTGAATTCGCTCATGCTTAGCACGAGGTTTTGTTGTAAAACGCGCCACGAAGACGTCGTCATCATCGCCTTCCGCCTCCCCCGACTCCGTCGATGGACACGGAAGGTCACGGAAAGAGAACACGTACACTCCCTGGAATCAGCAGGGAAGTGGACAACTGCCATAATCGCTACTAGTAACAAGAAGCTACTAGGTTGGAGGCCATCGCTATT